CACAAAATCGTCTGATCGACGCTCGGAGTAGTCCGCGCTGATCTTGATGACCTTCACCGAGGCTCTCTCTTTCTCTCTTTCTCTTTCTTTCAATTCACAGAGGCACGCCTCCGACCGCGAATATCCTCCGCGATAATCGACAATCTACTCTCGAGTTGAATCCTAGACCTAATCCTTAGGAGAAATGACTATTCTCGATTACAAGCTCGAAACTCGCGATATCGAGTCAACGTTAAGATGCTAACCCTAATCTACTCTTATTTCTAATCTTTTCAAACTAGGAACTAGCAACGATTCCATTTTTAATTCGATCTCGTTACTTCGTACATATATACATAATATATAAGTAAATTTAATTCCGTGTTTTATCGAAACCGTGTCTTCTTTAACACGTTTCATGCAGGAATACATAATTTACACGACGCCTGGTTAAACTTTCTTTTGTTTTCCATTCTATTTGACAATCCAACACGTTTCGTAAATTCGTTTGTTTTGTTGAAAGGAACTATTTGGAATGATGAATCGGAGGTATATTTCGTTGTCCATGTCGCGACCCATATTCACCCTCCCTCGACATTAGCCACGAGACCACTCCATCAACAGCAACCAGACGACAAGTTTCGTGCTTCTCTTCTCTGTCCCTCTCTCTCTCTCTCTCTCTGTCTCTCTCTTTTACACATACACACATATTCTCTTTTTCTTATCACCCTTGGGACAAGAGAAAACGTCCTTTACACGACTCGGAATGTTCCTTTTCTAAAATATTCCCTGAACTACCTTTCTCATTTTCGTCTCCACCTACTAACATCTCCATTCGCGAGTAGTAACGCAGAAATGTTTTTGGAGATTCCGTTTTGAACGTAGAAAAAAAAAAAACAAAAAATAAAACACATAAAATAGTGAAAAGAAATGAGACGGATGAAGATCGAACGCGCGTGTTCATTCGTTGAAAGCGATTAGAAATGTAGTAGTCGATCGACGAAAGAAACATCTTTTTATACGTAACGCGTGAGTCTAGCAACCCCCCACGACAAACCCCGCGACAACCCTTGCGAATAAACTCGACAGTAAAAAGAAGAAAAGAAGAGAACGCACTACGAGACGATATTTTAATCGAAAGGGAATACTTAAAAGCCGAACGAGCTAGGCTCTGACGTTTTAATGTCAGCGATCGATCCACCGACGTGTCCAATAACTCTCTACAGAGGACGAGAGAGGGATAGTAGGGAGAATGTGAACGAGAGGGTCCGATACCCTAGTATTATGCGACGAGGGGCAGTAAATAAGGTACCTTCCTATTTTCTCTCTCTCTCTCTCTCTCATTCTTCCTTTCTTCTCCTTCTTATTCGTGGCGTAAACACGAAGCGTTGTAGAATACACGGGCATTAGGCGGAGGCAGATCCGTGCAGATTCTGAGAATGCATATAATTAAGCACGCTGCATCTCTTGTTGGTATATACACGTATAAATATGTGTAAATGTATACCTATGTTTGTCGTATACGCGAGTGCTTGAACAGAAACACACACACACACACATGTTAAAAACGAACGAGGTAGCCTTTGTATAGCGACTCGTTGGAAAGATAGCGACGCTCGTGTGTGCCTTATATAGATACGAGTAAATATATGCCTAGCCATCGTCGGTCCTCTTCTTCCTCTCTTTTCTCCCCTTGAACTCTTGCTCGCTCACCCCCGACCACCATCTTTCTCTCTCTCTCTCTCTCTCTCTCTCTCTCTTTCTCATCCCCGTTTGCCTCCCGTCGTTTCTCCACCTTTTCTTGCCCTACGTTCCACGGTGATCTATGTATCGGCTTGTGCCCGCCGAACCGGCCAACGTATGTCCGTACCCCTCGTGCGCGCTTACTTTATTATCGAGCCTCAAATGAGAATTTATGCAGACATAAACGCTCGTGTCAGCGGCGCTACGCGTAGGTGGGGAGACACAACGTTGAGGCAGGCATCTATCACCCTCACCCTCCCAAAACCCTCTCTCAAGATGTCCTCAGATACCTCATCCAAAACTTAACCACCCTACTATTTATTTCCCCTTCTTTCTTTATTTCTCTTATTCTCAATGTTTAACTCAACAATCTGAATGACATCGATTAGAAATTTTCTCTCCTCGTTTTCTTCCTTTGAGCTTTTGGCTAGGAAAAAGAAGAGTTCCTGAAATTCGAGCTGGGTTCCTCGATTTCGCTGGAGAACAAGACAACGCGTATCGTAATTCAGAGCACGTTCGATCCATTGAGATTAAGTTTCCGTTAGATCGATACAACCTTTTCCAACGTTGTCGATCGATTTCTCTGAGTAAAACTGAAACTTACACGTATTTAAATCTCCATTCGTAACGTTCACGCGAGAATGAGAGAGAGAGAGACAGCATACGTTAAATTATTTTCCATGTGGAGTTCTTTGGTCTCGGTTGCAACGAATACGTAGCGTAAAAGAACAAAAAAAAAGGAAAAATATCAAAGAGAATACGATGTCGTAGAAAGCGTACGATACTACGAGAATCTTCGACGTATGAAATTTAAAATTTTGTAAATGTCAACCTTTAACAATTCGAAGCAAAAGAGAGCAACGTTCTGAATATAGCGAAGCGTGGGACTAGATGGCCCAAGTTTAGACTCGTAAATAAATGTAAAATACGTGAGGATATCAACTCTGACTCACATTTGGATAAATAGCAGGACATTGGGGCGGGAGGAGGGGGAGGGGAAGAAAAAAGAAAGATAAGAAAAAGAAAAGAAATGTCATGCGAAAGAATATGCACTCTCTCTTTTTCTTATTCTCCCTCCCCCATCTCACCCTCTCACTCACTCACTCACTCACTCTCTCTCTCTCTCTCTTTCTCTGTTTCTTTCCGCTGTCATGAATCATCGTAAAAGTGTCCGCCCGCTCGATACATTTATACCGACTGGACCACGAGATGAAAGTAACAGCACTTGGATTTCAAACGTGACTACTCGTGTGTGTCTGTGTGCGTATGCATGTGCATGCATGCGTGTGTATGTTTGGATACGTGCATATGTACACTTTTGGAACGTCAAAAGTCCTTGTCATGGTTGTCAGACTGAAACGTTCCTACTCTCCATTGTCTCTTTTTCTTTTTCTTTTTTATAGTTCCTTTCTTTACGACGTAATTCATGTATATTAATTACGGCATAGAATTTTCACGAAATTGGAATTTTAAATGCAAGCCTCTACTCTCGATATTTAAAAATCAAATTGCTTTTAATGGATTCTACTCGAGCAAACGTTGACATTTCACTTGAATTGTAAAAATAAATTTTTTATCCTTTTTTGTTGTTTCAAATATATATATTTTTTTTGTTAGTCCATTTAGCGAATGAAATTAGATTTGTTTATTTGTTTTTTGAGATTCTCGTCGATTGGATCGCAAGTTTTGTTGGCATTAACTTGGATTAACGCGGAAGTCACCGTCATCACAAATCATTATTAGCATATTATCGACGACACTTATCAGGGTGGCGCACGAAGGTCTATCCCCTTTCTTTTCCTTCCTTTTTCTCTCGAATAGGAACCCGTTAATAAATCACAGATCGTCTTTCTAGGCGATCCGAGGTGATATTTCATTCGTTAACAGGCATATAATTACGGTCGTGCAAAGACTCGACTCGATCAAATATTTTTTTTGATTTTAACTCGAGTAAATATACGCACACGGTACTGCACCGACTATATACTACGATCCGACTTTGCTGCCGGAAAAGATTTGTTTTAAACCGCAAAAGAGAAAGATAGGTATAGGCGTAGTAGTATGAAGCAGGAGTGTCTACTTCACCGATATCATGCATCACCATCGCGAGTCTACCTTAGCGATGAATATTAACTCGATTCGTTTATTGTAAGACGCATCGGTGAATTTCCTGATCTCTTCTCTCTAGCACGATGATTTATTATACCGTTCAATGTTAAGAGGATTCTGTAGTACATGCAATTCCGATCGAAATCCAATATTGTTCTTCATCGGTAACATGAAATACGTATTTAAAAAATTAATCCGAATAATCGTCGAACGATAAAAGAAATTTTTATTCTCGTCGTGTAAAATCTAATGGGTCGGAGAAATAAAAAAGCTATTTCGAAAGTTCGTTAACAAAAAGGGCATGCGAACTTTTGAGAATAATCATCGTCCTTCGATCGATCCCTTTTAGCAGAGGAAATCATAAACGAGGAGATAATGTCGACACGAGTCTTGATACGTCGTCGTCGTCGTCGTCACCACCACTCTTGCGTTCCATTTCGCAGCGCCTGATGTACCTTTTTCCTTCGTTGCCAGTGCGAGATAGACGGGTTGCAGTTCCCTCAGGCGCCGCCGCCACCGCGCCGCATTTCGAAGATCAAAGCGATCTTAAGTACGGCTGCGGGTGCGCGCGAACGCGTTATCATCCGCGTCGCATAAATATTTAAAGCGCGTTTACTTTTGTATGCAAATCGCAACGGCGCGCGTCCTTCGGACGTATTAGTAAATCTCGTTTGTCAAACCGACCCACTTTTCTCCTTTTCCGAACGTTCGCCATTTTTCTTTTTTTATTCTACTTCTTCTTTCTTCCTTTCTTTCAAGCGAAACTTTCCGCAAAAGCGACTTACTCGGAAAGATTATCTCATCTTCGTAATCATCGGAAAACTATTTTTAGAAATTCATATATATATATATATATATATTCTTCTTGTCTTACAATCTTCGAGGAAAATCAATTTAAATAAAATTCTCAAATATATAGTTCTCGCATTTTTCACGAAATTGTATTTTACTTAGTCATTATTTTTTTTAGCCACTGCAGACCGTCGATAATCCCCTAAGGAATTTCGTATAACAGGGTGCAGTAAATGGTTTCTTTTCAACCAGCTTAGCATGAGAGAGAAAGAGAGAGAAAAGCTAGAAGTATTAGGATATGTGTTATAGAAGAAGTGGTAGGGATATAGCGAGCGTGCGTGCGACGCGCTAGTAGCGTCACTGCGCCCATGGTGACACGAATAGCGGCCGTCAGGTGGCACTTCGATCGATTAGTAGTGCGCGTCGCTTTCCGCCATCTTTAGTTGTCGGATCCGTGGCTGCTCCGAAAGTAGTGACAGAGTATTAGATAGATATCACGAAGATTTCTTTGGAATTTTAAGTAAGTGCGATTAGAGAGGAGAGGAGAAACTTGTGTTAAGGCAGGAGAGGAGGAGAGCCCGAGGCATTGAGTGAGTCAGCCGTTACATCGCCGGCTCGTATCGCAAAGTTTTACGGAATTGTACTCCGGTGAACCTTGCAGTACGGTAAGTGCATCATTCTTCTTCGTTGCTCGCCCAATGTGCTAGGAACGCTGATCGTTTGCGTTCCTTTATTTTTCATTTTTCTTTCTATCTATCGGAATAATAGACTAACAATTCAAATATCTCTAACAAGACTGGCTGTGTTTACGCTGGGTGTGTCAAAGTGTTCACCTCCCCTCTATCCTGTTTGCTCATTCTCTCTCTCTCTCTCTCTCTCTCTCACTTTCTGTATCAATTCTTCGCTCTATGTATATAGCTTTCTCCCTCCCTTCTCTCTCTCTCTCTCTCTTCAACTCTTGGTCTTCCGCCCGTATCGGTTCCCCCTTCCGTGAACCCTCGACCCATGTCCTCGCTCACCCTTCGTTGTCGTCCCACTCCTGCATAGTGGATTGTCAGAAAATGGTGATACATTGCATTCTCGGAGCCTTTGTTGTGTCGCTCACCCACGCGCGCTAGTTTTCATTTCATCGTATGTAGTAATATATATGTATATATATTATATATATATATTACATACTTAATAAAAATTCAGATTATTCTTCTATTTTATTTTTCTCGTTGCATACTCTTGCATTTTATTTCATTCTCTCAGTGCTTGGCTATTCTCCTCTCTCTCTCTCTCTCTCTCTCTCTCTCTCTCTCTCTCTCTCTCTTTTACTCTTTCGTTGTCCCCTCTGTTCGCCTCACTTCATCTCACCCACTTCAGCTCAGCTCGCATGTGCACGGGCGTCCGTAATAGGCGATTCCGTAACGGTGCAACGGCACGTAGTGTGCTGCTGTGTTCGATCGTGAACGAAAAAAAAGGGGGAAAAGCTCGTTTATAGGAGAGAGAAAGAGAGAGTGAGTTAGAAAGATAGAAGGTAGTTTGTGAGGTGAGGTGAGGTAAGCGGAAATTGTCGACGCACGTTCGAAGATAAAAACGGAAGCTGGGAGAAGACACCTCCGACGGAATGAATCTTTTGATTGTTTTCACATTCCATTGCGGAAGCATCTATCCATTTTCTTCTTCTTCTTTTATATATATATATATATATATATATCCTCTTCTTCTTTCTATTTCTATTTTTTATTGTCTTCTTTAACGTCGCGACGCGGTGCACTGACCGCTTACGCGCGTCTTAGATATGCAACTCATTGAAAATCATTTTTAAAAGAATTACTAATGTCACGATATTGTTTTTTTATTTCTTTCAAGTATGCATTCGCAAGATTTTCTTTTCTTTTATTTCTTTCCTTACTTTCCTCAGATACATTGTAAATATCACAAAGAGAACATTATAATAATCATGTCATTTCATTCATGGTATATTATTTATTTTGGAATTCGAGGACTGCATAGAAACGTGCTTTAATTTCATACGTCATTTAATTTCTGCATCGATACGTTATTTAGGATTCTTATTGTAATAGTATTAAATACTATGATTAATTTTTAGGTTATAATTCTGTTTCTGTTATTCAGGTGTGGATAGACTCACCTGCCGGAACCATGAGTTATCAAATGTCATCCAATCAATCAAGACCAAGTAAGAGTGTACAGTGTTTATTAATTATTTAGAAAAGTATTCCTGAGATTAAGTATTTAATGAATATTGTTTCGATTCGTAGTGTCCCATGGAAATTACCAGGGTCCGGGTGATCTACCCATGGGGTCGGCAAAAGAGCAGACACTGCTATGGCAACAGAATTCTTACATAGCAGACTCTGGTATCCATTCAGGGACGGTAACACAGGCACCATCTCTGTCCGGTAAGGAAGATGATGAAATGGAAGGAGATCCGTTGATGTTTGACTTAGATCAAGGATTTGCACAAGGATTTACTCAAGATCAAGTTGACGGTGAGCATTTATTAATATGAGAATATTAAGATTAGAAATAATACAAACTGCATTCTTATTTCTTCAGAAATGAATCAACAGTTGAGCCACACTCGATCTCAGAGAGTCCGGGCTGCCATGTTTCCAGAAACATTGGAAGAAGGTATAGAGATACCTTCTACTCAATTTGATCCGGCACAACCTACTGCTGTTCAGCGGTTGGCAGAACCGAGTCAAATGTTGAAACATGCAGTGGTCAATTTAATAAATTATCAAGACGATGCAGACCTAGCTACTAGAGCAATACCAGAATTAATAAAACTCTTAAATGACGAGGATCAAGTAGTGGTTTCTCAAGCAGCCATGATGGTCCATCAACTCTCGAAAAAGGAAGCATCTCGTCATGCAATTATGAACAGCTCTCAAATGGTGGCTGCTTTGGTGCGTGCTATTTCCAACAGCGATGATTTGGAATCGACAAAAGCAGCTGTTGGCACGTTGCACAATTTATCCCATCATAGACAAGGTCTTTTAGCCATATTCAAAAGTGGTGGTATTCCTGCACTTGTAAAGCTGTTAAGTTCTCCTATGGAATCCGTATTGTTCTATGCTATAACAACGTTACACAATTTGCTCCTTCATCAAGATGGCTCAAAAATGGCTGTACGACTGGCTGGTGGTTTACAGAAAATGGTTGCGCTACTTCAAAGAAACAATGTAAAATTTCTAGCTATAGTGACAGATTGTCTTCAAATACTTGCTTACGGTAATCAAGAGAGCAAATTGATCATACTCGCTTCTCAAGGACCGATAGAATTAGTACGCATTATGCGTTCCTATGATTATGAAAAATTATTATGGACAACGTCTAGAATTTTAAAAGGTAAACATTTTTTTAAATATCTTATTGTTATTCATTATTTTAACAAACGATCTAACTATTCTATTTGTTCGTGCAGTATTATCCGTATGTCCTAGTAATAAACCAGCGATCGTAGAAGCTGGTGGTATGCAAGCTTTAGCAATGCATCTTGGTAATCCGAGTCAAAGATTTGTACAGAATTGCTTATGGACATTACGAAATTTATCGGACGCCGGTACCAAAGTCGACGGACTCGAAGGATTACTTCAAAGTCTCGTACAAGTTCTTGGCTCAACGGATGTTAACGTTGTCACGTGTGCAGCAGGAATTTTATCCAATCTTACATGTAATAATCAACGGAACAAGGTAAATTATTCGAAATGTAATACTAAATATTAGTTCCAATAATCATGATGATATCAAAGACAATTGTAAAATCTTTTTCTTTATTAGGTTACAGTGTGTCAAGTAGGAGGCGTCGATGCTCTCGTCCGCACAATTATCAATGCCGGAGATCGCGAAGAAATAACCGAACCAGCTGTCTGCGCTTTACGTCATTTAACATCGCGCCATGGTGAAGCAGAAATGGCACAGAATTCAGTCCGTTTGAATTACGGGATTCAAATAATAGTCAAATTGCTAAATCCTCCTTCACGTTGGCCATTGGCGAAAGCAGTTATTGGTCTGATCCGTAATCTCGCCCTTTGTCCTGCGAATCACGGACCACTTCGGGATCACGGAGCGATTCATCATCTGGTTAGGCTTCTGATGCGCGCTTACCAGACAACACAACGGGTGAGTGTATGGAGAGAATAGGTCGCAGAACTTGATCTGCGTCAATGGCGAGTATACGTGCGTTTTATATCTATATACAGCAGAGAACGTCAGTGGCCATTACTGGTAATCAACAGGCACCAGCGACGTATGCGGATGGAGTTCGTATGGAGGAAATAGTCGAAGGCACTGTTGGAGCTCTTCACATTCTTGCAAGAGAATCACACAATAGGGTCATTATCCGATCGCAGAATGTTATTCCGATATTCGTGCAGGTAATTTATAAATATGTCTGATCCTTTCACAATATCTATTATCGTTAATCGAAATGATTTTTCTTTTGATTTTTATTTACAGCTATTATTCAATGAAATTGAAAATATTCAACGCGTCGCAGCTGGCGTGCTTTGCGAGCTTGCGGCTGATAAAGAAGGTGCTGAGATGATCGAACACGAAGGTGCGACAGCTGCCCTAACGGAATTGCTGCACTCTAGAAACGAAGGTGTTGCAACGTATGCAGCAGCCGTACTCTTCCGCATGAGCGAGGACAAACCTCAAGAATATAAGAAACGACTCTCCATGGAATTAACGAACTCCTTGTTACGCGAGGATACGAATTTATGGAACAATACTGATTTCGGCATGGGTCCAGATCTACAGGTAACGTGGAGAATACGAGAAATATTTTGAATGCATGAATTGCTTATGCCGTGGCTGAATTTATTTTCTTACAAACAATGTGCATTCTTATTTTATATTGATATTATTTAGCAGCGTGCACTGCTGAAAACAAACGCTAGATTTAGGATTAGATATAGATTTTTATATCAGCTCGTTATTATATAGAAAGATAAAAAGATATGGATAATTAACAGCATAGTTATCGTGCACAAATCGATAGAAATACGAATACATTGTATGAAGTAAATGAAGCCACGTTATTTATAGAAATTATCTTCGATGTTTTTATATCAATGCTAAATTTGATAAAACAATATCAATAGTATCAAATATGCTTGCTCATATATTAGCTTGTATTCGTGTTAGCATAGACAGGTAGTTTACGATTGTATCACTATTGCCCATTATCCAATTCGCATAACTAAAATTATATACGAACGCCGCATGGGGGGATTTATAACTTAATTCGTAATATCACTTTTCAATTACATTTATTTTGTTCTTCTAGCAATAAAATTGTCATTCCTTTTTTTACATTATTATTAACTATATATTGCTTTTCATCACTTCTAACTAAATGATTTATTTCCAAGTTTTAATAATAACGACAAGCTCATGCTTTTAGCTTATGATTTTTTTCGCATTACACGTTTCCAAATATGGCATTTTGCTAGTTCTTTTTATATTTATCATCTCCAGTATTATCAACTTTTCTGATAATATTATTACTATTAATAGCAAAAGAGAAAATAATCTATGTTGTACCTCAATGGAGGCAATGGAAAGCCAACGAATAATTATATAAAAAGAAAAGAAAAAGAATAAATTGACGAACCGTTCGAGTTCGACAATACAATCATCACACTTTGATGAAGATATTATAATAATAATGTGCATGGGAATGCGTTTTCTCCCCCGTTCGTGTTTTCGTCTCTGGGCTCAATGAAAATATCGGAAGAAATGGATACCCGAGAGTAATATACCCTCTTTCGAAGAACTCGAGTATACAAAAAAAATACTTTTTCATTATTTCGGAGATCATATTATTCATTTTCCAATATAACAAAAAAGCAAAAACAAACGTTTGCAATAAAACACGCGCGATATTGATCTAAATAGGCGAGTATTTTCCCCGTGTTTGTTTTATTTCTCGGGGAGTGAACTATGAAATGATGCTCCCCCCGATTAGAACGATATGTTTTGTGTTGACCTAAGCTACCTAATCTTCAGGACATGCTTGGCCCTGATCAAGGCTATGATGGTATGTATGGACAAGGACCTCCTAGCGTACACAGCAGCCATGGCGGCCGTGGTTATCAACCACAAGGTAAGTTACGTGTAATCGAATCATTCTGCCCATCGAATGCTTTTCATTCAAATGAATTCAATAAACTTTTAAAACAAAAAAAAAATATTCTACTCGAGCATAGTATTGAAAAAGTAAAGTTATTTGTGTATATGTCTATTTAAAAACCGAGTATACAACGTATACGTATTTGCTACGTTATTCTTGGGAAAGCTCAAGATGATTTTTATTAAAAAGTCATTGTATCGGATATATCGGAAAATAATTTTTTTTTTTTCTTTTTTTAAACGAACGAAATAGTATAGGTGAACTTTCACTTCTCTATTACGGTAATGTCTATTTTTGCATCCCAATAGCGTTCTATGGACAACTAATATTTAACGATTCCCTTTATTTTCTATTTTTCTATACTCGTAATAGGAATTTATACTTTCGATTTAAACGTAATGCATTTAATTGTTATTTTAACAGCAGCTTAACCCACGGAGTTTAATTAAAATACAGGCTATCAACCGTATCTCGCAGTAACATAGGTGACATTCAGCTCTCTTACGTATACTGTTCTTTGCTGTATTTTATTGATCGTTCGTTCTCATCGTTCGCTTTTTTTTTTTTAAAACTATTTTATTTTCTCTATCATTCTTTTTTCTATCTTTTATTTTATTCTTGTTTTGTTTTTCCTTTTATCATGCTTGTGTGTCCGTTAACTAACACCCCGTACGCTTATCCTCTTACACGTTGATTGGAAATTTTTATTTAGAGAGAAAGAAAAAAAGAAACAAGTTAAATAAAAAAAAAATATCATTGTCATGCTTTTCAATGTGCACGTGTTGGTTTATGTGGCGAATGTTCTAATTGTGTCACCCATAGTAAAATCTATTTCATCAATTTTAAATATATAAAAAAGAAAGCAAGTTTTAAAAGCGAGACAATATTTAGTGTTTCCATGATAATAATAATAATAACGAGTTCTTCCCCGTGCTCTGTGTGCATGCATTTTTATCTTATTTCTCTTACGTCATCTCTTACGTAATCCTCTATGTGCTTTTTGGAAGAAAGAACGGCGTGTATGGTACTCTATCAGGTACAGTGAGTTTTCTTTTTCAAATGACATACGTACAGTAGTAGACTTTGTATTTTATCTTTTCTTCTCTTTTTAACTTTAACTGTGTAACCTCTTTTACAAGATATTCGAGAGCTATAATTTTCCTTTCTTTTTCTTCTTCTTCTTCTTCTTCTTCTTCTTCTTCTTCTATTTTTTCTTCCTCTACTTTCTACTTCTACTTTTACTTCTAATTCTTCTCCTCCTCGTTTTGATCTCTATATATAAACTGTAAAACTACTCTACGAGGAGGAATATTCCAGTTGATTAATCGATCGTACAAAAGCATGCAATCAAGCGGTTTCAGCGTCGGATTGTAATTTGTCCTGGCTTTCATCTTTCCCCCTCTGTTTATTGAAGTCTGAAAAATCAATAGTCGTCCGCATTTAAGTGCGCATTTCTCTCTCTTCAGAAATCTTCTAAAATTCTCCAGATACGAGGATAAAATTAATTTTATTATCCTCATATATATTCGATATATATATATTATATTCCTTACGTCAAAGTTATATTTTCTTTAGTTACGAATTATAAAAGATTAAAACGAAATATAATATTAAACGCGTATTATTATTACTATTGGTAATGTAGTTTCTTTTTTTTTTTTTTGAGACCATAACGTAGAGTATAATTATTATTAAAACAGAATTCTTAAAAGAAAAAAAAAAAAAAGGAAAGGAAAGAATGAATAATAAAGTAATTCTGTAAAAAAGATAAAAGTAAAAGAACAAAAAACACATCAATTGTTTTTCGTATGACAGGTTATGACCAGATACCAGTAGATTCGATGCAAGGATTAGAAATAGGCGGAGGATCGACATACGGTGCAATGGACACTATGGATGTGGCGCACGAAGGTGACCTGAGTTTCGATCATTTGGAAGAACTTCCGGCGCCACCCCAGGATAATAATCAGGTTGCAGCTTGGTATGACACTGATCTTTGAATCCGTATCATCGCCCAATCTCTTCCGGGAGCTACGATTTCGTGAAAATTTTTCAAAGGGACAACAACCAACAAACAAACAAACAAAAATACGAAAAGGATAAAAAAAAAAAAAAATCATAGAGGATTTTGATACAAGACGTACGTTTTATCGGCATCGTCTGTGATTTTATTCTCACCCTGTGTATAATATCGATAGAATAATTATAATTTTCAACGAAATTCTTAAGCGTTTCGCGCGCGATACGAATGGTGTATACGAAAATTGAAAATATATCGATTAATATGCTGTCAATGTTAATTAACAAACAAAGAAGATAGTGTAACGCTCAAATATATATATATATATATATAAATATAAATATGTGTGTATATATATATGTATGTGGGTTGGAGATTCGTCATTGTTGCCGGCAGTCGATCGCACTCACGACCTGGAAAATTACAAGAAAAAATCAACAAAAAGAACATTTTCAATAAAAATGACACAAGGAAAAACTATTAAAGACATATCTAACCGCGAGAAATTCTCCGTGGATTTTTATCAATTATAAAAATAAATATAAAGAAGGAAAACAATCGAAGCATCGATTTTCTAACTTCCGTTTTACACATTGTCTTATTTATTTTATTTTTTTTTCTCTTTCTTTCTTTCTTTCTTTTTTTTTTTATGTAATCAATCGAAAAAGTTGTTAACTCCGTGTACCGTAGGAATAAGACGGTATTAAACGTTTAAAAAAAAAAAAATAAAAAAGGAAAAGAAAAGAAAAAAAAGGGACGGAAAGAAACAGGGTGAGAAATGGTTGGAGCAGGGATGAAAGATTGATGAAAAAAATATTATAATAATACTATTAATAACAATATTAATAATAATAATAATAATAAAAATAGAAACAAACAACGCGATTCATGAAAAAGAAGAAGGAGAAGATGGTTGATGATGATGATAACGACGTTAACGCATTTATATATCTCTGTAAGACAGTATTTTATTTAAAAAAAAAAAATCATTGTTCTCTCGTATCACGTGCATTAGTGTGTTTTCAGAAAAATACGATTCGACTAGGAAAAAAAAAAAAAGAAGAAGAAGTTAAGAAATAAAGAAAGCGAGTAATAGCACACAAAAATGATAAAAGAAAACGAACTTAAAAAAAGAAAAAAAAAAGAGAAAAGATAAGTATAAGAAGAAGAAGAAAAAAATGATGATGATCAGGATGATAAAGATAAAAGAAACTGTATTGCCTAATACTTATTAATCCCCCCGAAATATTCACTGTATCATATACTTCTTTCGAAAGTTGTGATTTGTAACCAAACTGCAAAATAACGACCTATTTATACCGCTATCCCCGAAATGGTAGTGTCAATCTCGTATTTTACAGGGTAGTTATACTTAATTTTTATTATTATCATTAAAGTAGATTCGCAATCGGAACTGAACTTATTACTATTGGCCATTGATAATCTTAGTCGATGGTCTCTGTAAAAATTCTTCCGATTGCTATCGATGTATTAGATTTAAGGAATGATAATTATGATGATGATTATGATTATGATGATGATGATGAAAAATAAAGTAAAATAACAAAAAAAAATGTGAGAGAGACAAAATGGGGAGATCAAGAGACACATAGATCGAGCGAAAGAGAGAGAGAGAGAGTGAGAGAGAGGGATGCAAAAAAAAAAGATAATGAGAGAGAGAGCAGGACACGTAATTCGTACACATCATGTATATGTATCGTTTAATTGTCCATACGAATAAACTGAACGATTAAGTACTCGAATTATATTTTCAATTTATTTATTTCAGGTACTTTTTAAAAAGAGAAAGAGCGAAAGAGAGAGAGAGAGAAAGAGAGGAATGATTTAGGAACAATTCAGAATATCCATTTGATTTGTCTCATCGGATGAACGAATAAGTATCGTGAAATTTCAGAATCAACACAACCAACCATTGTCAAAAGTGATATATTTTTTTGTTTGTTTTTTTTGCTATCGGTACGCGTCAAGCTACAATGATGCAATTGCAAGACATTGACTACACGATGCCGTTACGAAGTCCGTTCGTTGCAAAACCCTTGACTCGGTTCAACAACCATGGGATACGAATATAGCGCTTTGCTTGCTACTCCTGACTCCTAAGAATCGACTCTTAGAAATGTTATAATTTATAAATAGAACACGTGCAACGTGGAACGCTAATAAACCGTCTGCCATTGTCAGCTTGAGGTAACTGATTTATAGAAAGTTTATTTTTCTTCGATCTGTGTTAATAGAAAGTAAATGATTTTTCTTTTCTTTTCTTTTTTCTTCGAATGTTTAATCTGTCAGAAAAATATTGTCATAAATTCTTTATACTTGACGCGTTTATTTTTTTTCTTAAATAATTAATTATATTAGATTACACTGTCGAAAATTAAGATTTCTAATCTTTCAGATTCTCGTTTATATCAGCTCAAACGTTAGAAACATAATATTATACAATACTTTCTCTTATTGTCTCTTAATTAAAATTACAGTTATAATACTAAAAAAAAAAAAAAGAAGAAAAACAAGAAAATGAATAAAATCTTTGACCCATTCCTGTTTTCATTCTTCGTTTTTATAGTAGTCTGGAGTATAGGATTGCTCACCGTTAGTTCAAACTCTCCTCGACGATTTCGAAATATAAAGGGAGAGAGGTAGGGGAGGGGAGGGGGGGGGAGAGAGAGAAAAAAACGTGAAAGGAATGTATCTCTACACGTGGGGTAATGTTTTTAATGGCGTTTGAGAGCAAGCTTTCTTGGAAATTGAACTTACGACCGGGTCGTCGATCATACCGGTCCGATCTTAAACGCATGCGTTGTAAGTACTCACTATCTATGTTGAGTTAACCGTACACGTTGAAATCCGGAGAAATTCGTTCACCTTCTCAACGAAGAAGACGAAAACGATAACGACAACGACAATTACGAAGATACTTACGACGATTTCTATACGTTTCTTCAAACATGGCATATAGAAAGCTGTTTCGTCGAAGATGCAAGATGATAAACTGTAAACGAACTAATGTAAGTAAGTAAGTACTCTTTAGAGAACACTTGTTTAACAGGTTACGAAGAATCCTATACGGAAAATCTTAAACTAATGATACGCGAATACGAACGGTTCTATTTTTAATAGTATTAACTTTTAAAATATTTAACAGGCATATTTATTACACACCTAATCGAACAAACTTTTTAAGTAGAAATCAAAGAAAAATTAGATGAATCAATCCTCTGTATATTTATAGAAAAAAATATCTGGCGTAGTTTATAAGTATATAATGCACTTGTTCACCAATGTTCCATTCTCTCTTTTTCTCTCTCTCTCTCTCTCGATTCGTTTTTGTTGTTAACGATCAGAAGGGAACGTGCTTACCTCACGATTTCGAACGAGACTGTATATATATATATCGTTTCTTTCCTTTCCAGAAGACAACATTTCTCTTTCCTATTGAGAAATATCTTTTTCATCTTGTTAATTCCCTTTAAAATTGAATTGAAATCGTTAGAAAATAAAAAAAGAAAAACAAAAACAATCAGAGAAACTTTGATCCAATTTTGTAAATGAGGTGTTAACGTTTTTCCTAAAAGAAATCTTACTTTCACGTCAATTTTATCCGCGCATAAATGCATACATTTGTTTGGCAAAAAAATTCCTTGGAAAAATTTAATAAAATACATTTCTTTTTACCCCAGGAGAATAATATAATGATGTATCTCATTTCGATGACACAATTTAAATATACACTTATCAAAAAGATCACCACAGTTAACCGATTAAATGTATTACAAAACAAAAAATGCAAGCTCGCGTATAATTAAAATCATTACAAATAATTCCGTATTGGTTTTTCATTAATAAAAACAAAGCGATGAAAAAATGTTCTTTTAATAAATCATAAAATAAAAAATTGTCATTCTCAATCAATTAATTGGCACAATTTGGATATCATAGATAGCGTTCTAGTTAGAGTGTGGCAATGAGGAAGGAAGAGTATTTGTCAAATCATTAATCGAATAGAAGCCAATAGCATACATCAAGTAAGCTAGTAGCTGTGTTAAAGTGGTGCGTGTTTGTTCGTAAGAGAGTACACATTCGTGCGTATACCACGCGTCAGAATACTACTTCGCGTTTAGCATTAACGGTTGTTTCTTTTCACGCGACACAAGAGAAAGAGGCTTGCCTTGGTATACCCGAGGAAACTTCTTCCAGTGTCGGTACTGACTTTAAAAAGGAAAGAGATACAAACGTTTCCGGTCTTTGGGGAAGAGTGAACATCTGTTCTTTTCGTAGAACGTGCTATTTAGTATTCTTTCTTATCCACTTTCCTTAATTATTTCATATTTTTTCGGTGTAACGAAATATAATCGTCAATTCATAATCCACGTGGTTATTTTAATGTTAAGAATATTAAAGTGTGTGTGAGAAAGAGAAAGAGAAAGAGAAAGAGAGAGAAAGAGTTAACGAGGGAAGTAAAAAAAAGAAAAATTTTTAATTTCACGAACGACGACCCTGACGAAGAAAAGGAAAGGACGTCCTCGAAGAAACGACGAAAAGAAAATCAACCAAAGGTAGATTTATTCAGAAATATTTTCAAAGTATCATAGTATTTGTGTGAGCAGTAGTGACTCGTAGCCTTAAAATCATGCTGGAGCTGTTGCAAGTTTGGAAATATTTAAATTATTGTTATAAATTAACAAACATATTATAATGTTTTTTATCAGTTATCTCGTGTTAAAAATTATTTAAATAATATGATCAATTATTCTAGTCTTATTTTAAACGAGAAACTTAATAAATTTCTCCTTGATGTTCGCATGACTGTGGGTTATTACATTATTAGCTTGCATCTCGCCATAACGTGCATACAACATTCTCTATGCAGTTAGTATCTTAAATGCTATTAGATGGATTTTTTTTCTTATTTTTTAATAAGAAAATTGTATATAGGATATTTTACAAAATTAAATATTACAATTACATATATAAATTAATTATTATAATAAATATATTTATGTAATGAGAACAATTGAGGGGTGTTGTAATTTCGCATTATACGCACGAACCGTCCCTGTATTTGTGCATGTGTATGTTATATTCGATTTGGTTCCTCACGTTTGAATTTTATAGCGTTCTTTCAACCCTGTTTTTTTCACATTCTTTAGCGGTCGTGCGTGTTTTTAAATTACGACGAGGTGGATACGCGAAAGGTGCTTAACATTCTCTTCTCTCTCTGTCCTCATGCAAATTTAATCTTTCTTCTTTGTTCGTTCATGTGTGTTTTCGTATATGCGTGTGTGTATGTGTGCGTGCAATATTTTTTTTCATTCGAATAGTATCCATGAATTCAAGGATAGAAATATCGTACTACGTTACGACAACAATTTCTTCCAACTTGTATAGATGAATATATTTGATTGAAAATTCACACACAATTTTCGTTTAAAAGATTGTTATCGAGACTACCGGTATAATTAATTAATCCTCCGAAGTGTAATCGAGAAGGTACAAAAGCGTTATATTCCATCCACATGTTACCCTTGAAACACTGCGTCTATTCGTTCGAATCGTTGCACACATGCCTTTCATTAAATTCATATTTCTATTGAAAAGAGGTGCGAATAAAAATATTCTGTATAATATAATATCAATATACACGAAGAATAAATTAATGAATTATTTGTGTTTTTATCTAGAAAGTAATCGAATAATATCCGTGATCATTTCAAATGATCCTAACTATGAAAAAACAAAATAGACAATGACGTGAAAGTGCATATAAGACGCGGAACAATTCTGTTTCTCTATTCGTTATTCGTGGGAGTAAAAGGCTTGTAAACTCGTTGAGTTCATTCTAACTTCCGATCTTATTGCGAGATTGCGTGCGAAACTTCTCTTTGAGAGCTTCATTGATTCCGTGACGGGAGAATGCGATGTTATTGCACCTGCAACTTAGCTTTGATTAACTAGTCTACTCTCTCCTCGTACGTTTAAACGATCTACATAGATATACGAACGTGTATCTCTATTCGATTAAACGCGTGATATTATTGTTCATTAGAAAAACGCACGATAGAATTAATGCATGCATATCATCAAAACGTTCTCGTTACTTTCACAATAATTTAGATATTGAGATCATTTTCAAGCATAAAAAATGTAAGAAAATATAAATCAACAAGTTGAATGGCAACATGTGGCATGCAAAAATTAATCCAATATACAATATATAAAATGGTTTTATTATTTAAACCTTAAATTTAAGATTTACAATGTGTCATATCTGTTGGCGTTATATGGGTAAGCCATGTAATATCAACATGATACTCAACGTGTTATATGTGCATGCAATGCAAAGAGATATCCATTTTCATTGACCCAATAAATGAGAAAATTATCTTAAGAAAACAAAATTGAATTAACGAATCGAGCCAGTGCACAAAAATAAAACAATAAACTCGCTCTATTTAATAAAAAGTAAAAAGATTTAACGATATGACACATAGACACACTTTCGCCGAAGTAGATTGGTTTTACGGTCTACTAGAGAACTCACCAATGTGGACTACTTACAATTATTTCTTTCTTATTTCATTCCTATTTCTATGTATGTATATATGTACGTACAGGATATCCAACAAATCATGGATCAATCAAAAAAAAATATAATAGAATAGGTCATTTTCAATAAAAAAAAATCATTTCGATTTCCCGTCGTTTACTAGTTCTTATGAGTTAAATCTTATTTATCTTAAAAATCAGATTCACATTAAAGAAATGTAAACGTACCTTCTGTGTACGAGATTGAAATTAATAAAATATACTTATAAATTAAATACAATAAAATATAGTTAAAATTATTTACAGCGTGTAAAAATAATTCCTAAACCCAATAATTTAGATATGAGAACAGAATAAAACAATACAATGAAAAGATACATATTGTACGTCAATTGATTATAAATTTCTTGATTTATTTGTTTATTCAAATATTTACGAGAATTACCCATTGTAATATTATAACCAGAATAAATATTACTGAATTAGAATGGAATTATCCTTCTGGTGTAAAGAAACTCACTCAGATATAATGGGAATAGAATTTTTTCTCCAATCTATTCAAATAGTATGAGGTGTACCTGTAATAACAAAATTCAATATAGATGGAATGCATAAAAGTATTTTATAGATACGTTTCCGTGAAAGATCGAGAATGTGACAAATCGAATACCCTCGTAGCAATCGTCCTTGCTCCAGACAGCTTCATAAACGTGGCTGCCCTCAGTAGTTTTGGGGAGGGAGTAAAACGCGTCGTGCTGTGTAGAACCGGTAATGACGTGAAAGTGCATCCACGAGTGAACGAGCGAACGGCAAGCAAGCAGTCCTCTTGGTTCCGTTCTCTCTTCGTTCTGGACAATCTCCCGGCTCGTGGCACAGACTCCGATTTCATCGACTCCAAGAGAAATTGGCCATTCCTTGAGCACGAAAGAACATACTTTATCAATTGTCTTCGAAACACGGAACAACCAATACAACTAAACTTTTCATCGAGCTTGTTCTCATCATTTTCAGTTTGTTCGTTCGTTTGTTCATTAGTTCGTTTGTGTGTTCGTCTTGTTCTTCTGCTTATTTGATTATTTTTCAATTGTGTTAAAATTGTAACGTACATCGGTTAGTATCTCGTCTAAGAAGTCTAGCAGCTGGTCTACCGGTAACGTCTCTATCGTGCACCTGCATCGTGCCCTACAACCGGTCCGATCTTAATGGGCTTTCGCACGGGCCAGTGATTTTTAATGGACCTCTTTCGCTACTCTTGTTAATTGGGTCAAGTACTCGAAAGTTGACGCGATTCTGGGACGCTTTACCCAAAACGAATTACAACGAATAGTTATTTCGAAGGATTAAACAAATAACACAGTGCTATTTTCTTTGGATCTTCAATTATTTATCAGTGAGTGAATACTTTATACCAAAGTTTTTTTTCCCTACGTAATTAATCTTTTCTCGACAAAGTTTTTGTTACATTGAAATTCGGTTAAATGTATAATTTAAAACAATTGTTTTATATTTGATTTATTTTTTTCCTAATTTTTACATTCACGAAAAAAAAAAGAAAGAAAGAATTTCGAAGAAATTTCACAATTTCGTTTAGTTTAACCTTAGTTTTCGCATACTTTGAATAAAAAGATGATATTAATTAAGATGCCGCATTAAATCGTCTCATGGTCGACAGTGTCAAGAACCTGCACACGCACATCTAAAGTTCCGCGATATCATATTACCGTATTACTCTTACCACGAAGAAGATACACACAAGTCGTTGGTCACGAAGGTGCCATCGAAGTATCTAATGTTGTTCTTTTCTCCTTTTTTTTTCGAATTTATCCATTTATTTGATTAAATCGAATAATAGAAATTTCGCATGTATAATTTACAGTACGAAACAGCATCATCCACCCCTCCTGTTCTACCGGACGTCGTTTTCTTTTCTTTAAATTAATAAGAAAAGAAAACAGGATCGTGTGAGAAGAAGCAAAGCGCAACGGCATCGATTCGATCTGCTTCCTAAAAGGATTTCCACATTCGACGAAACAGAAGAGCAAGGTGTTTGGTGCAGTGCGAATCGGAGTATAAAAACGTATGCGCTTAACGCATTAGTGTTAGGTGATCGAGGGGAAAAATAAAATTAAAAAAAAAAAGAAAATAAATCAATTAATTAATTAATTAATTAATTTAAAAAAGAAGAAGAAGAAAAACATAAAAGGAAAAATAACTAAACAGAAATTGGAAAATTAAACGACGCGATGAGGTTGATGATTTCATCTAGGAAAGAGGACCTCTCGGAGGGACGTTGACAGAAAATTAGAAAAATTTCAAAAGGATATAAAACAAAGTGAAACGATTTTTGAAGATGACCGTCACGATGGAACACAAGAGGAAGAGTTCGTGGGATTCAAAGGTGAGAGACATGAATCTGGCACACTTTCTACGTTCTTCTTTCGGTTGCTTATTCACTCATTATCTATCTGCGTTTATGTGTGCATTAGAATGTTTTTTCTTTCTATTTTTTTTTTCTGTCTTCTCTCTCTTTCTTCTCTTTTTCTGTAAGAGATGCGCTACCAACGTTAATTAGATGCTCGGATCTCGTGCGAAAATATTCCTAACAGTCGTCTGCGAAATCGTCGTCTCGGAAATGCACCTTTTCTGTTTCTCGTGAAAGACGTAAAACCTGAGCGCGGAAGCGTTATTATTGAATTTTACGCCAGCAATTTTCTTACAATCGTTTCTTTTTTTTCTTCCCCTACCCCTTGTCTTTTTTTTGTATATATATATATATATATATATATATATTATCCACATTGCCTTTCGTGGAATTCGCGAAAGGATGGGTGTAGGAAGGTAATTGTAGCATTTAAATAATTTTCATTCAATGACGACATTGTTTTTAATATCCCGGTTCTTGTTTGTTGAAATAATTATGCGCCGATAATAATTACAACCAAGTAGGATCCATTTGAAATATAATAGAAAACGATTTATTTTACAATTATTTGTATTACAAAATAATGAATGGAATATTGTTTTGTTTTTGGAAACGAGTCCAATTGTAATTATCGGTACAATTCGGTAGGATTAACAGAAGTTACAGAAATAAATATGGTTGCATGATTCGTAATTAGATTCATGAAACGATGTTACAATTAAGTTTAATAGATATTACCAGTTAATTAGTTTCGTACATACTACAATAATATAATCCATTCGACGTAGTATTTAATTTGTCATTAGCGTATTGTATCGTGAATTGTTAGAAAACGTGTTGGTCTATTCTGTGTAAGAATACTTTGAGGAATTTATCTATAAGTCGTCACCTAAGACTAGCTTTGGTAGAGACGTTTAAAAACTATATTTATTCGTGGAGACGTAAACCAACCAGGGTCTGACCTTCTAACTAATATTTTGCACAATCCTAAGTCTCCGTATTTCGCAGGGAAATGTCAAGAACAAAGATCAACGCTTTCGTAAATCTTACTTATTTTCGAGAGTACGTTTACTGCAAAATACGCATAACTACATTCCTTTCTCAGGTATATTTTTTCTTTTTCTTTTCTTTTTTTCCTTTCAAATTAAAGTTTTGCGCTTATTCGAAATTCGAGATAACTAAAATAAATTCTACGACAATTTAGGTAAGAAAAATAAGTAACAAAAGGGTTAATAGAATATCTTGTCGTCGTTATATACGATACGAAACAAAACTACTCGTCCTGGGCGCATATTCTTTGAATTATTTCTGCGGTCTCGCGGTTTGGATTCAACGGAATTAGATATACGCCTCGTAATAAACTTCGACAGAACTCTCGTGCGTTCTTAACTTCTATTGACAATTACTATTTACGAGTAGCAAGAATCACGATTGAATGCAAATTGTTTCAAAGAGATTCTAATTTACGCAAACGTATCCTCTTAGAATTATGATATATAAATTAGAATATTTTCAAGACATTTTTAAGGAATTCTAAATACTTTTGAGTTAGAATGTACACTCGAGACCCTAACAAAAATTCTTGATTCTACCTAAACCGATATGTTAGGGTTCCCTATCCACCATCACTACCACTTCTTCATCGGGAACAAATAATTTAAGTAAAAAAACAAAACAAAAATTCGAATCTCGTGCTTCTCTTTTCTTGGAAACCTTAAAACGGTCTCCGAAACCTTCTATCCGATCGACCTTGTTATCCATTGACCCTGAGTGAGTATAAGAGCGTGTGTTGAATACCTACGCACTCGCCGCGGGAGCTTTGAGAAACGAAGAACTAGGCTGACCGGAATAGAAAACGATGCGTTAACGTTGGGCTGGGTTGTTGGCTCTCAGTTCAGTTGGGTTGGGTTGGGCTGTCATCTGTTCTCTTCACGATTTACCGTTAAACACCTCTTACCGACACTCGATCAAGCCGATTGACATTCCAAACACCGAGACGAGGAATTGTCACTCGTCGTTTGTCACTATAATAATATCCCCATTTTATTTTATTCTCAACAAATCGACACAAATTATTTTACCAGATCCTGTTCTACGTATTTCTATAATCATTTACCTATACTCCCATTTTTGATACGATCATTCACCTTTCAATTTATTCCATTCTATGCGGAAATCGTTACGATAGTAATGAAAGTTTATCTGACGGTTTTTGGATTCGATTGAAACTTAAGAAAAAGTATTTTATCCAATCAACATTTTTCATCGTTGTCCATTACCCATTACAAAATAGTTTCTTTTATCTTCTTTTAAGGATCTATCAGATTTTATCTAAAATTCTTTTTCTCTATTAGAATCGACATACTTACGTATATCTTAAGAATTTTGAACGAGTGATGAATGTTATAAGAGAGACGTGTTAGTTTTTTCCGATAAGTGGAAAGTAAATACTTGCATTTATCCCTGTTTACTTTGTCTAATGATTTTTAATTGGACATATTCGTCGAGTGGTGTTTTCTTTACGGTTCTTTTTTGTCATTCTTTCTTTTGGTAAAGAGGGGAGGATAGGGGGTGAAGAAAGCATTATCGTGTTTACTAGAATCGAAGCATTGGACCGAGAAGGCTATGGGTTTACGAGTGTCGGACGCTCGTTACATACATACACGAGGGGGGAGGGGGAACGAGGGGGGATGGAAGCGGGTAGAGTGTAATTTAAGGCGAGCAAAACTTGTTCCTAGATTCTCGTTCTTTTCGAAAGGCAGTCTGGTGTTGTTTGGAGTAACGGTAGTAACAGTCAAGTAAGTCAAGGGGGACTCTGGCCGAGCCAATGGGACACATTACATTTATTTTTTTTTTGTCATACCTATTCTAAGTGACACTAATATAGAGAAAGTTTGACCACTATGAACTCTAATTTTAAGTAGAAAATTTGATAAGTTTGCAAGAAGATATTCTACTTCGACGAATTGTTCTTCGAATGTATTATTTTGAAATTTGGAGAAATATATGATTAGTATTTATCCGAAGGGGAGGAAGGCCCTTAAATCTTAAGGTTTCCGGGAAACCGTGATGGTTCGAGTCGAGGAGACGAGACTTGCATTCGTTATTTGTGAGTCTCGAGTCGTAAAAAGTTCAGAGGATGACGTCGAGTGAGTCGAGATGACTATGATAAATGTACAACTTCCGTAGGGTGAAGTTCTTTTACACCAAGCATAAATCTATTTTTTTCTTTTTTGCATATTACTCTATCATATTTTCTAAATAAACATATAATGGATATATTCGAGAGATATTGTAATTAATCAAATTCCCCATGTTATTTTCCATTATTGTTTATTCAATATCGATGAAATTTTTTGATTACAATTTTCCAACAATCTTGTATCCCTTTCCTTTTGTTTTCCCCCTGTAAATTTATTCTTTGTTTGTGTCCAGTTGTGGGAGGGGTGAGAAAGAGAGGGTCAATGTGTTTATAAGTTAATCGATTCAACGAACTTTCACGAAAGTCATTAAGATGGGAAATAAATCGAGCAGGATTGAATTTTTATCTCGGCCTTGAAGTCATTGACCGTGTCCATTAACGGAAGCATACGCGTATCTCTTAGTACGTTTAGTTTCTTAACACTTTAATCTATTTCTTCCATCGTTAGATACTAGATTCTCTACTTACTGACATTGAAATCTACTTTCGAAAAGGAGACCCTCGCGATATTCTTCTTCTTCTTTTTCTTTTTCTTTTTCTTCTTTTACGTCGCATTAACGCTCGAAAGTCAATGATTATTTTACAATTGTAATTGGCAATTTGATTTACGATTAGCTGCACAGTTTGCCAAGCTTTCCCTCGATCACGAAGTTTCTTCCTTGAATACATTTTAAATACACTGTCTATCAATTGATTCGAAACATCCAACTTTTCCCAATCAGTAGTATTTTCTACCATTATTTTAATTACTATACATTTTTCTACGTTTTCACATATTTTTCTTACCAATATATTTCGATAAATCCCAAAAATTTAGATTACAAAGGTTGATTTGTTTTAGTTTAAATGATCTAAATTGCGAAATCGTAGTTTGGGAAACGTTTAATTATGTTATTATAAATCGATGAAATTCTGCTCTTAATCTAAGTTAAATCTTTTCTTTATTCGGCAACGTCTTTCGTCACGAAGAATCCTTTCTTTTGCTGAAGATCAGGTCACATGACCTTTTAGTTCTATTACGAGAATCACGAGATACCTTGTTGTTTCTTGTAATAGAGATAACTGGTAAAATATCACACGGTTCCACGTATAAAAGGAATATTATGTTTTTCTTAAATACCATTAAATTGGATATAAAAAAAAAAGTACTAATTTAATAATTAGTAAATTTGACAAACAAAAAACCGTGGGGGACTACATTTTCGATTGTAAATGTTGACAATTAAAAAAAAAAAACTGATGTGTGTACTTATGTACGCACGTAAGAAGTTATACTTCTTTAGCATACTAAAACGAATATAACTTCCATAACCTCAAAAATAACTTCAATTTGCCCGCGCATCGTAAATATCGACAACTTCGTAGTGTCGATTTTTCGGTCGCATCTAACTTCACTTTCCAAAACGCGCCAAAAAAAGTATAACTTCAAAAATGTTTGCATCGTAAGGAAGTTTAAAAAACATTTGTTTAAAAGTACGAATCTTTTTTTTTTTTTTAACCGATCAATCAGATTAATTAAAGTCAATAAAATGTTTGAATGGTATCTTTGAATCGAGCAATTACAATGCTTCGTGCACGAACTTTCATTGGACTTTCGTAATATGTGCAACTATTGTTCGGCAAAAGAGCCACCTTTGGATCGTTAAATTTATTACATAAGATTTATACAAAACTCGATTTGCAGTTTTTCGATCATAGAACTTGATCGGTAGCGTTCAAAGCACTAATTAAAATTATATCTATCGTCTAAACACGGAGAAATGGATAGACCCCGTTCATAAAGTTCGTGCTCTCGATATCTCTCTCTCTCTCTCTTTCTCTCTCTCTTTTGGAGAAAACAAAGTTCGAGTTAGAAGATACGAACATAAACCGTTTTACCGGTATGTGTAGTTAGGTTACAGTCTAGTAGATTTTCAGGTTTGCATTTTTGCGATAATATCATACCGATTTCTCGTTAATATTTATTTTTTATTTTCCATGAAAAATATATATATATATTCAAACATACACGAAATCGTGATACGTTTTTTATTAATCCATTTGGAAATAATACTCGTTTAATTAAATGGGATAATGTTAATGACCTTTTCCTTCCTCGATATGGAATGGTCACGTTTTTATAATATAGCTGCCAATTGATTATTTTATAATATTTAAATAACGAACACATAAATATCGTATATCACGTTACAAAAAGTACGGAAATGATCTAGATTCTAAATTGTAATAGTTAAATTAATAATCATTTAGATTAATACTGTTTCCGTTTATTTTTCAAATCTTTTAACGCAAGTCTGTAGTATAATAAACTGGCGTGAGAAAATCAGGTTCTCCTCTCACAAATGTTATATTCGTTTCTCCTTACACGTTTATTCGCTTTTACTTTACCGATTCGAGAATCTATTAAGTTCTTAACGATATTCAAGATTATTTTAAGAAGGACGAATATCTAATATATATATGTCTGACCTTTTAAATACGAAATAAATTTACTTCCGTCCATAAGTCTCCATGGATTGCAAACGTTTCACAAATAAATAGAAAGAAAAATAAATATTATCAACAGCCTCAAAGAAACGTGTTAATAGAATACATTTACATATTAAAAACTATTTAAAAAATAATATCTTTTTCAAATAAGAATCTCCTATAATCCACGTATAAAAGAATTTCTACAAATACTTTTGAACAATTTTCATGGATGGTTTTATCAACCTATATAATAGAAATGTCATTTTGTAATGTTGAATAAAAGGTCAAGTAAAAGAATATCGTCCTTGGAATCAAATAGAAATCGTCTTTATTAAACTTTTACGAAGGAAGAGAATGCATTTTCCCATAGACTGTGAGTCGAATAAAATGGATCGAAGTCGAGTAAAACTCGTGACATTTCGTTTTAACAAAAGGATGATAAAAAGAACTTTAGAACTAGCCCACTCATCATCCTCATCATCATCATCATCATCATTCGATGGAAAGAAAGGTGCGATTCTTCGGTTGTTACCGCATGTACACCATACCCCATACCATAGAGCGTGAGCCAAGCGTAACATTTGAACAGGGAGGCCTACGCCCTCTCTCTCTCTATATTCGTGTGTGTGTGTGTGTGTGTGTGTTTGTTCGTTTATTTATTCGTCGCGTGGGCTAGATAGAGAAGGCATTAGAAAGAGAAAGATTCATCGCGAGTGGCGAACGTACATTGCACGCGCGTTTGCACTGCGACGATTATACGGACGCTTACTCTCATAGATTTGCAACTTAGGTATTGGGAGAGAGAGAGAGAGAGAGAGAGAGAAAGGGTAACTATGCTTCCGTAAATCTACTGGGTTGTTCACAAACTTCTCGTACATTTCAACAAATTCCAATAAATTATTATCAAATTATTCTACAACAACACATTTATATGTGTTGTTATATTTTTGTCTATATAATTATATAGAATATACACGCACGCACACACATTATTTCTTTTTAATTGAGAAAAGTATATACAGCGTGTAAAATTCGGAATAACCATTTCAAACATTTTCTCAGTAAATATGCAGCGTTTAAATTATCGCAATGTTAAAATTGACGTGTCACTTTGAAATAAGGTTAAATATTATCGTAGAACACGTGTTCGTTGAATTATTTTTTGTTTGTTTTTTTATAATTCCTATTCACTTGTGAACTAGGTCTCACGTGTTTTGGATACACTTTGTATGCACACATGCATACGAATAAAAATATATAGTAGTATACTAGTATATAGGTATTTTACAATAACCGCATAGGAGAGTTTTGCATGTGTCACGACACACGAGCAAGTTTCGATCGGGTCGATTGGTTTAAAGCACGGATATGCGCTTGCATAAGCTACGATTCGGACAATTACACGACTAATCGCATAATTACAGGCCCTGCCGTTCGTATACGTTACGAGGCGTTTCCTGCTTTCGTGATTCGCGATTATTGTTCGTTGTTTAGTGATAAAAATTATTTTAACAAAATGAACAAAAAGTAAGTCGAATTAATTTTCAATAGAGATTGATTTGTTCATAATATATAGAAATAACAATAATTTAGTTTTTGTTTTTTTATTTTAAGATAGGAATCTTCATTCACTTCGAGATTAGACGATAATTTGAATATTTAATTAATTATCCTTTCTCTCGCGCACGACGTTTAATTAAAAATCTTCTTTCCCTTCAACAATCGATATTCGTAGTATTATTAAATACGCTATGATTGCATAATTTTCAACTTCTCCGTAGTAGGAAGCAAAAGAGGATCATTTAATACGATTCGTGTCTACACTGGGAATCTCTGTAAATTTCTTCCGAACGAAGGAATAGAGAAAGAAGAATTTCGTCACGCGCCCACGTCGCGCTACTTCTCTTCGATGTCTTCCACCATTGCATTTCGATTTCGTAACGAAAAATTTCGCTATAGGGTATATATATCTCGAGGGAGTAATTTAAGATGAAAATCATCGGTAACGTTCTACATTTCATTGGTTACCTCGTAAATTTATCTTACATCCTATCGTAATTTATTATTTCTTTCAATTATGAAATACGTATAAGATATATGGTGTATACGTCGGGTGCGGAATTTACATGGGATTCATGATTCTTCGTAAATTTAAATAGATTTCTATAAGATTATTCTAATGTATACCTAGAGAACATTAATTAATATCGTTTTAATCGTTAAATTGGTCTGTGTATTTTTTCGCAATAATCATTCCTGATAGTTTGATACATCATCGGGAAAAATAATAAAATTCTGCACATGTAAATAAAAATACACAAGCATGATTGGACATTCTTTATAAAGAGATCATAATAACAAAGTATCCTTTGAAGAAATTTCACAGCGTTGTTCGCGATCATCCGCAGATCTCGGTGAGCACGGTTAGCACGAGAAGATTCAGTCGAGCTGGTACACCAAGTTCCATTTTGTCTTCGGACAGCGACATCAGATTCACGAGGAAACTTGGTGGTCAATATAGATGTGGTTGCTGCGTACTGGCTGCCTTCTTATTCTTCCTTCTATTTTCTGGCGTTTCAATATACCTCGGCTGTAAGTATATTATTTTTATCTTTATCATTCATCTTATTTTTCCCAACGAATATGCATTACGTTTCTGTTTTATTAATTATAATCACCTGCATAATGCTATACAATTTGTATTTGTTATTAATGAACCGTTTATTTTGAAAGTGGTATAAGTCCATATTGATAAAACAGTAGAAACATTGCCAGACTTCAAATAATTTGCCTAAATTTTTAAATTAACCAATATGCAAACCTTTAATTTTCTCGAAACAACAGAAAATGGACTTAAACCACTTTCAAAATAAACGATCCAATTTTATTAAATTCATTGCAAGTACTCGGATTGTTAAAAATATCCGTGGTTGTTGGTAATTAATCTAATTAATTTCAATCAAATAAAAATCTTCGTAACAACGAATCAATAAAATATTCAAATATTCGACAATGGTTTAATTGTTGATCATCTTCCCGATGAAAAAATAAATGAAGAAACTCGTTCGTTTTCACCGCTTTCACCATAAAATCCGATCTTGGGAATAAGCGAGAAGAACTTAGTAGTAGTCGAACGAAAATCTGCAATTCCTGTCGGTTATAGTCCTGGCCCGATGCGGTTTAGAAGGCATGAAATTACATAGTCGTCAAAGAGACTCTCGTCGCGTTCCTCGAGCGAGAAACCCTCTCGATGAAGTTTGCGTTCACGGTGTCTGAACCTCTTACGAACCGCGAACTCTGATCGACGTTTCCTTTTGTTCAAAACAATTTAACATTTTACTCCTTTACGTTTGCACGTATTTCACCTTCAAATACGATCACGTTTGTTTCATCAAACGATTCAATAAAATTTCTTAAACGCAATAGAGATCCCATAATTTTGCAAATAAAAAGAGAAAAAAGAAAACAATTTACTAAATCATATAACAATTGATTACATTACGCAATTATTAAGTGTTTGACTCGCGTAAAGTTGCATGGAATTAATTGAGACTATTGCGTTGTAATAAGTAACTGTAAAGTTACACCGTGTGATTCTGAATGATGCTATTTAACCCATAATACGCGACTTATTAAAAAGTCAATTCACTTTCCGACTCGTCTTTATAACAATTGGAAGAAAATAATTGTCTTAAAGCTTACGGTAGACTCATGGGAATCGCGTCAATTAAAAATATATTTAATCAATCAAATATATATTGAAAACAAGAAGGAATTAAAGTAACACGTTGGATTGATCGAAATGTTTGAAAGAATTCAGAAGCAACGTGTAATGAGGAGTTATTAATGACGCGTACGTGTTAAAGCAGAAACGTGTCGATAAATGTATTGTGACAAGCGCATATAAGCGTGTAAAATATAATAAGAAGAAAAAGAAGAAGAAGGTGATGCGGCCAAAGCCCATTGAGGTCTTTCAGCACGCAAACATAACGGTCTGACCGAGTTACCGAGTCTTCGAGGAAGTCATGAGTAGTCGTACGTTTTGATCGAGACTGCTTTTTCTTTTTCTTCATCTTCTTACGACTTTATATTGACTAGAGAACTTCCTGTCCAGGTTAACTTCGCAGGATTCCTTTCCTGTAAAGTACTCTCAAGTACCGTTTCTTTCAAATCTACATTTAATTTAATAAAGATTGTTGCAACATTAATGTTAATAAATTCCTGTTATTTATACTTAAACTATTAACATGGAAATCATTATACTCTTTTAGTCATTAAATATATTAGATTTAATTATTAAAGTGTGAATAAAAAAAATCCCAAGTATAAAACAATTCGAGAAGTAACATAGCAACTAAAAAATTCTATATTAATAGTAAAAGATAAAAACATTAATGACTAATTACAAAATTCCTTATTATTTTTGATTAATAAAATTCTTGAAGTTAAACTTCTTTTGACGTGTGTTTTTTCGTAAGTTAAACATAACTTAACTTTGTAAGTAGAACTCTCTCTCTCTCTCTTTTTGATATGAAGATGTTAACACGTACTAAAAAAAAGAATATGTAAAAAAATAAAAAGAATAAGAAGGAGGACATTTGATTTAACGATGAATGAGAATATATCTTATGCGTGGTTTAACCAAGAATCACGAAGGATCATCATCTTGGGTCCAGCAAGGTCTTCGAAGTAGTAAAAGGTAACGGTCTGACCGAGTTATCGAAGTGACGCGCGCCTATGACCACTTCTCCTTGCTCGACCTTAAAGTGGAGGGGTAGTGTCCTTGAAACATTTTGATACTCGTACTTACAGAGAAAGAGAGAGAGAGAGAGATTCCCGGTACGAGAGAGTACGCTCGTGTAGTCAGGATGATGGTGAGAGTAAGAAGAGGGTCGTCATAAAGTGAGGAGGAGGATGAGGAGGAGGAGGAGGAACACTGGGTTGACTTTCAATACCGGAACTCGTACAACTTTGCGTCATTCTTCCACGATATATCTTTTATTATTATATTTTCATTTATTCTCGATCGAGATTCTGTTAAATTTGTATTGTAAGTAAAAAATTAATTCTAATAATTTATAATCAATTGACTGAAATATTATTTTAGTTACGAGAATATTGAATTTTAATAATCAGCGAAAAGATTTCGTTCTTATTTATTTTAAAAATTACAAAATGGGGCACCCTTTCTGATGACCAAATTAACAAAAACCCTAATCATTTGTTTAACAAATTAATGAATTACAAATTAATTATACGAAAACGTGTTTGTTTGTCGCACGTATTTTTCTATCAACGACTTAGATCTAAAAATTGTATGGTCGACTTTACTATCTCGAGTATCGAACGCGAAACCGCATCGTAGTATTGCCTTCGGGAAATTGATTGCAAAATAAGGACTGACTTCTTCTTCAAAAAAAAAAAAAAAGAAAAAAGAGGCCTCTCTAACAAAGATGAAGGAAAAATCGTTGACCGAAGTTTGCGGTGAAAGGTGAGTCTCTTGGACACCGTAGCTGCGGGCACCTGCGTGTCCTCGATTCTTTCTTCTTATAATCTCATCTCGATGGTGGTCCATAAAAGAAAATTAACTTTGTCTTCGCGCCATTAAATAAACACACTTAACGATAATCCGATTATAACTAACAATTCGTCATATTATTTGATTAGAATCCAAATTCTAACAGAGAAAAGAAAATTGTAAAGATTCGTAAAAACAAACTATAGTATTTGAATTAAAGTAAAAAGAAATAGTACGAATTGTTGATAAATTGCAAATACAAGAATTAATGTTCTTACGTTAAAATAGCATACAGAAAAATTCCGAATTTCTCCTGTCCAAACCGTAACGCCATTTTTACGGTATAACATCTACAATTACACGCGCCGTGTATACTTGTTTATTAATTTTTATCAATAATTTAGAAAAATAAAATAAAACGTAAAAGAAAATATAATTATAGGTTCGTAAGAAAGCAGGTAAACTTAAAACGTGACTCCATCTCGTTTGCGCGTCTCATTTCCTTAATCATAGAACTATCTAATTATGGTAATTAGTAAGTAAAGCATTTTAATAGTCTCGAAAACGATCCTTTTGGAAACCTATAATAACGTCATTTGGGAATGGTTAATTAAGGATGTTGTTCTATGATGTTTCAGACACGTTCCTAACGTCGGAATCACCAGCGGATCAAATATTCTTAGCAACTTTCCGTGTTACCGAGGGAGATTACTTTGCATTGGAACTGGCAGATCCCTCTACCGAAGCATTTCGCATTAGATCGAGAGAATATCGCGATCGGATTAATCTTATTTTCCGTCGTAGTTGGCTCAAACTTTCATTTCTTGCATCGGATGTCTTAGCACTCGACGGGTAAGTCGTTTTCAATAATTATCCCTTCTTTATCGTAACAATAAATATATTACGTTGAAATTTGTTAATATTATATTTGAACAAAAATATATAATAAATAAGAACGTATACCACGTTTGTCTGATATTTCAGATTTTTGGTTTAAAGCGAAAAGCAAATAGATTATTGGAATTGCGCGTAAATCGAATAAATAAATCGAACAGATGGAGTTTCTTCCAAACGGAATAATTGAAAGTCAACCAATGTTCTTCCCGAGATTTATCTCGCCTCGGTACTAGAGAAAACCTTTTCACGAATCCTCTCCGCTATTCTCTCGACTGCTTTCTTGCGGCTCATACATAAGCAAACGCGACTAGATGTGCACTAGGAAAGAACGAGCTTTGAATGTCACATTCTCTCTCATCAATTATTTATTCTCCTGTGTTTCACATCAAACGAATACAGTAGCTATACATTATGTTTGAGTCCCTATAATTTTGCAATGTGCGAAATATTTTCTAACTGGAGTAAGAAGTGATGCAGGAAGGGTAGGGATTTTAAATTAGGATATGATTTCTCCTAATATAATTGGAAATGGGAGAGACTCAAAGCTCGCGTAGGCAGGGTTGCATCCCTAAAGTAAACTCTGTTTCTGTTAAAATCAAAAATAGAATCTACCCGCTACCCCTAAATGTTCTCACACACACACACATTTAATTTTGTTTTATTTTTAGGGTGGAAGGTCGCGACTTGGTGGTTCATTTCGACGTCAGATTTGATCCACGATATCAAACGATCACCACCAGCAACGTGGTCGACATTTTATCGCGCGAAATCGATCCCAACAGTACGAAATATTTATCGAATTTAACGATAGACGCCAAAAGTCTCGAGGTTCAAGAAAGTTTAACAGCGTTAAACGCACAAGTCAGCCTCCAAACAACAATTTCAACGATTCCTCCAACTACAACAGCACCACCGCCAAGAAGATGCAGTATTTTGGAATTATCTTATTGCAAACATCTTCCATACAACATCACTTCCTATCCGAATATGTTGGGACACCGTTCTTTGATCGATGTCGAAGAAGACGTTATTGCATTTAGGTATTTTTTTTTCGTTAACGCGTTCCGTATCGCATCGGTCGCATACGTTCCATTTTTTTAAAACTTTCTACGGCAAAGGATTATATCTTATATTGTTAACTTTACATTGGTAACAATAATTATTACAATTACGTATATCTTGAATTTTCTATCAGGGAATTAGTAGACGCCGAATGTTATCGTTCAGCATACGATTTCGTCTGTCAGGTTTTACAACCTGCCTGTTTAACCGGTGAACCCGAAGATTTATTGCAATTACCCTGCCGAAGTTTTTGTCGAGAATTTTGGAACGGTTGTGGAAATAGACTTCCCGACAGGATCAAACGAGCCTTGGATTGTTCCAATTTTCCTGAATACGCCGACGTTGGTAGTTGCCGACCAAAACCAGGTAACTCAATTAGGTTTTATCTTGTATCGTACAAAAATTGATCTAGATAAGATAATAATTGTTAAATCGTTATTTTAGGATGCGTGCAAACGCTTCAATCGAAGGCCCTGTCGCCAAGAATTTGCGACGGTGTGATCGATTGTCCGGATTTGGCTGATGAAAAAAATTGTGCATATTGTCGGGACGGTTATATGCACTGCGGGGTTGGGAGAACTTGCATTCCTCATAACAAACGTTGCGATGGTAAAATTGATTGCCCAAATGGAAGCGACGAGAAAGATTGTCGTGAGTACAAAAATAAATTCATCCATGTTATTTTTGTTGTTTAACAATTAATATAAAAGATTTGTTTTCATTTTTTTTTTGTTAACAGTATCATTGTCGCAAAGTGTACGAGCAGTTAAATCCCAGCCATGGGATACACCCCATGCCGCGAAATATAACAGCGAGGGTTACGTTGTTTTTAACGAAAAAGGTACAATCGGTAAATTGTGTACGGAAAATTTGAACGCCACTATGCCATCGACAGAAATGGAAACTGTACTTCAAACTGTAGCCAATTCTCTTTGTACTTTATTAACATATACGTAAGTATAATTATTGTATTATTTTCTAAATATAAGATTTCATTTAGATTTGGATTTTTATATTTCGTAGTGGCGTCCAATCTGTCGAGGTAAGAACCGATGAAGAAGAAGACGTTCAATACGTTCACATGGAAGATCCATCGGCTACAGAAATCACATTTGTTAGGGCACCCTGTCCAAGTAAAGACGTCATGTACATCCGTTGTTCTGAACTTGGTACGAAATACAAATTACCAACAACATAATTTATCCTTTATTCCATTAATCGCATTAATAAAAATTTGTATATCTATCGTTTCAGAATGCGGAGTACAGGCATTACGAAATAAAGGTAAACAGGGTCTAAGTAAAATGGCAGAACCTGGTGATTGGCCTTGGCACGCGGCACTTTTTAAAGAAGAGGTTCACGTTTGCGATGCTACTTTGATTGCTGAAACTTGGTTACTCACTACTGCTTCTTGTTTCCAAGGGTAATCAAGAATAAAATTAATTAAACGTAGACGCGTGTAACTGATCAATTGTATCGTGACGAAACAAATGTTTATAAAATATTTGTTTAATATAGACAACCAAAAGCAGAATGGTCTGCGAGATTAGGCACAGTACGTCTTTCGAGTACGTCACCGTGGCAACAGGAACGTAGGATTGTAGGAATGATTAAATCTCCAGTTGAAGGAAGTACGACTGTTCTGTTAAAATTAGACAGACCTGTTACCACTTATTCGGATTTTGTCAGACCAGTTTGTTTACCATCCGCTCAAGATCCACCATCGACCAATGCATCTCAATGCAATACTCTGGGTTGGGCTAGAAATCGTACGTCATAATTATACTTTTTTCGCAACGTTGTGAGTTTATGTGCACACGTGTTAGTTAAAATTAAAAATAAAAAAAAAACAAAAAAATGTAGACCAAAATTACGTAACAATGTAAATATCTTCTATCCGACAGATCGAAGGTTTTCGTTTGTTTCCTTTTTCTTTTTTCCTTCTACGAATACTTTCACATATGAAGATAAAGTAAAAGAGAAGGTTGTATAATGGATACAAGTTAATTTCGATGTAACAATAATATGTATTTATACAACACGTTAGATAAACGTGTACATTGAAATAAGTATGAAACGTAACCAACTGGTATACTTATATAAGTGAATTAAAATATACTTTCATGTATGACACAGAGATACTTGATTCTAGAATGCAATTCAATCATACACTGATAAACGATTTTATTTGTTAAAGAACATTTATACTCTCTTAAATAGTTTTAAATCAAATATATTTTCTTTTTTTATTTCTAGGTGATATGCTTCAAAGAGTACAACTGAGGCATAGTGCGATGGAAAAATGCGAAAACATAAGTATCGCATCTGTTAACAGCGTTTGTACCGAACCTGCGTATTCGGTGGATGATTGCAATGTAAGTTTTTATTTATTTAATGTTCCTATTTATTTGTGCATCTGTATTTTTCAACATTTTATGTAACTATTTTAAATAGAGATGCTTATAAATTGATAAGTTATTAATATTTTCTTACGAATACTGACAAATCATTTTAAAATATTTAAAAATACTAATCCAATGAAATAAGAAAAAAATAATATTTCGAATATGAAATTTATTAGGAAGAAGAAGTTGCTGGTAGTCCAATGCTTTGTCTACAATCTGCCAGTCAAACTTGGGCACTAACAGGAGTTGGTAGTTGGCGAATAGCTTGTTCTAAAGCAGGCATTGAAAGACCTAGATTGTATGATCAAATATCTTCTAATATCGCTTGGATCAAATCGACGATTAGTTAAATACTCGCAATCGTTACAAATTCAAAAGTAATTAACTATGATATCTATTCGATATGAAAGTATTTTTTTTGTTTTTTCTTGACGAAACAGTAAGTCGTTTTAAAAATGAAAACAACGTACACGTACTGAAATAAAAATTGTGATAAAAATGTGCCGGTAATTGTAATAACTGTGAAATTAAATCAACAAAATATATATATTCTAAATTTATCCTATACGATTTAACGATTATTCATTTTGTTCTCTATTTTGTTACGTATCAAAACCGCTGTTCAAATTATCGGCACAAATATTTTAAATCATGAACAATATAGGATATATATTTTTTTCTATTTTGCATAATTCGAACATTTCTTTTTTTCTCACTCTCTCTCACTCTCTCTCTCTCTCTCTCTCTCTCTCTCTCTCTCTCTCACTCTTTTTCTCTCTTTCGTTATCGAGGTCAAGCCATTAGATTGTAATTTCCTAAACGTACATAGTGATACACGTAGTGATATTATTTAGCGTTTATCATTTTAGTAAGAAATATAAAACGATTGATAAAAAATATCTACTTATTTTGTACGATTGTAAATAGAAACAACGGGAGTCTTATTATATGTATATCATTTTACAACAAAAATTTTTATTTTGAATTATTCTCACATTTTCGCGACGCAATTAATTATAATTTATTTTATGAAATAAATTGTACGCGTTATATCTTAACGAAATAAATACGATATTAGGATTAAATTAATTTTGAACATGTTACGATAGGTTCTCGAATTCAATGAAATTCTAATTAAATTTATCCAATTTCGAAAACCCGTTATCTTTTCTCATTTTAATAACTACGATAATTAACTCTCATTAGCCGAAATTTTTTCCAATTTTTCGATCTTTTAAGTGGCCTTTTCAAGGATTAATTAAAAATTTGAAAAAGTAGATACTCTTATCAGTCATTGGATCAAAAAAATGAAATTACACACAAGAAATATTTATAATCATATCGATATATGATTTTTAAGTAACACAAGACTATTGAGAGCTAAGAATAAACATAATAATTGATTATACAGTAGCAGTATTCGTTAGATTGTTATAATAAATTAAATATAATGAATTTGATATTATATTAAAAATCGTTTTCCTGAATAATATGTTCATATCCTTGGAGTGTATTTTTTCTGTTTTTTTTTTTTTAAATGTAAATAAAAAGACTATATGGACTCATATTAATAAAACTAGATATAAATTACATACTCATGGTGATTTTAATATGATGCAGTAACGTTAAGTGTGTCCAAGTGGTGGGAGTTTCTAAGGAGTTCATATTTAAGTTGTCTGCTGCTATTTGCTCAGTCGTCTGTTAAGAAACGATTCGATACAACCTGCGTTTTGAAAACTATAAAGTGAAATAAACGAGGTTTTCGATATTATTCCTATTTTATAATATTTGATGCATAAGCATGGTAAGATTTTTGTCTAATACAATACACTTTTTTTATATACTTTAATATATCGATAGAGAAAAAGAAGAAAAACAAAATATTGAGTTACTCGGAAAATTCGTGCTGATTAATAAATAAATATATTAATTAACAATGTTGAAAATGCCAATTAAAAAAAAAACTAAATATAAATTAATCATTATTGAATGATGGAATGTGTTTGTCTTCGAAATGTTACTTACGTTTAAAAAAAAATGAAACAAATATTTGAGGTTTAGAGATTTCTAAACCACACAAAATTGCACCGGTTGCTTACCATGACTTTTTTATGAATGCAACTCGGTTATAAGTATCACATTTCTTTGGCTTAGTAAATCATATGTTTCTTACTTATAGTTGAAAACTTTACAAGATTCTGTACTGCGTAAACTTTCTATGCAACGAGGTTACAATAATTAACATAATATCAAATTATATAATGTTTCAACACAGTTACATGTTTCGTTGAAGGATACTAAAGTAAGCGAAGAATTTTCGGATTTATCAAGGATCGATGGGATAGTCGATGATCCATTGGATCTTTTTAGATCTTGGCACAAAGAGTCGAGAAAATATAAATATAACTTGCCTGATGTTTTTTGCCTTGCGACAACCTCCAAGTAAGTATATTACGATTGATCAATAATAAATGAAACGAAATAATAAAATCGTAAAAATGAAACTGATTAAAACTTCGCGTAATTCAACAGAGATAATAATGTTGCTGCAAGGAATGTTGTTCTCAGAGAATTTGATAACGATGGTTTTGTACTTGTTACCGATCAACGTAGTAGAAAAGCCTCGGAATTGGTAAGAATTATTAATGCGAACGAAATTAGACATATAAATATAAATTTCTATATTATATTTATTAATTATTTCATTAATTAATCTCACACAAAGGATAGCGTACCACAGGCTGCACTATGTTTCGTATGGCTTTACATAAATGATAAAGGACAAAATATTGCACGACAGGTGATAATTTGAATTTGTTAAATAAAATAATATTTAGGATGTCTCAAAAATTGCTCGATCAATCTGAACAAAAAAGTTGAAATTATTTTTACCGAGTATTTGGAGTGGCAGGTATATTTTTGTTAACAACGCTACCAAGTAATTTCTATCTTGAATTGTTAAATAAACTATTGTAAAATTCTATTAAAATACAAATGTTAATTATTTTTTTTTATCTTGGATTACCAACGTAAAATTTATTAGTTAATTGTAATATAAATTTGTCTAGGTAAGAGTCGAAGGTCCAATGAAAAAGTTGAAACGATCAGAATTTAAACACCTTTACGACAGAGAACCACTCTTTTGCAAAATTCGATCCCATTTGTGTCATCAAGACAAAGAAGTTGATTGGGACGAATTAAAACGAAGACACGATCAAATTTTGGAAGAGTATCGAAGAGGAGAAAATGAATTACCAATGCCGGATCACTTGTACGTTCATTTTTGTTTCAATTTCGTATCGACTAACAAATTATTATTGCATCAATATAAATTTATTTCAGTATCGGATATAAATTGTTACCGACAATGGTAGAATTTTATTATGCGAGGGACGAGCTTATAGGAGACAGGGTGCAATACAACAGAAACAGCTTGACCGAAGGATGGCAACATCGCCGATTGGCTGCCTAATATTCAAATACAAATTGAATAACAAAACTATTTCATTATTTATTTCTTTATCACAATTCCTGTAATTTTTATTTTATTACATGCTTCAAAAATGAGATTAATATTTCTATATACCGAGCGATACAAAAATCCGAAATATCATTGTTGTTTGTAAAGGCACGAATAAAAATTTGCTTAAAAAAAAAGAAAATACAAGAAAAACCACGACGAAGAATGAAATTATTTTTCTTAAGATTTTATAAGCGCCATTAAGAATTATATATATATATATATATATATATATATTTTTTTAAATAAAACTACACACACTTATCGTCGCGTAACCAATAACTATTAACGATAAAGGAATAATATATTATAGAATTTAATTAGATTTACATTGACCCAGGTTATCAATGAACGATAATAAAATATAAATTTTCAATTATATACACATAAAAAATTTTTAATGAACTTGAAATCTCGAAACATTCTTTACGATAAGAATTATGCAACCGTTGCATACACCATTCCCCACATAATATGCGTACATATATATGCATCTTGTACATCATTGGATCATGCAATATCAATCGAAGTTAACCGACTAGATTTAAAATTGGCGCGTAGGAAAAAGTTGAAGAGTGCGCATTCTCGAATGATTCGAATACTTTGGTCAGAATTTGATGTGCAGCACAGTAGAAACGCAGTGGCGCTCGGGTATTTCCACCAAAAGTGTAAGCTTCCGGTAAGCAGAGCCGGTAACTCGTCGTTTCTTGAAGAGATTACCACCAGTCAGACGCGAAACGTGATAGTGCGTGGTATAGTGAGATACACGTGCATCATTATTTCACGTTTCTCTTACTTTTCTTTTTTTTTTCTAATCTAACAAAAAATGTCCAACGAAGCGTCAAAAATGATAAACAATTTCAATGCTTATATTCTTTTAGAGGATGGCAGTATTTTCCCGGGAAAACGATTCGGTGCCGAAATATCCGTCGACGGTGAAATCGGTGAGAATAGATTTGACACGTGTTTTCTTTTTCTATCTTTACCCTCTCCCCCCCCCCCGGCCACTTCGATGCATTCTCACGTTTTTATTATTATTTTTTTTTTTTTTATTATACCTACATAAATATAAAAATTCGAATCCTTTTCGAAATAATTATATCTTTTATTTTTTTATTTTTATCGTATTATAATATATATAATTGCAAATATTTGTTATTTAGAAATAAAATAATATTATAGATAATAGTTTTTGAAATATTAGAAATGAAATTTCGATGCATCCATTGATAATATTCGACCTCGAGACGAGACAAATTGTCCGATAATAATTAAGAGGCGTATTATTATCATACGGAGGCTTCGGATGACCACGTGGACCTTGCATCTTCGTCTTCGTTAAATACGATCAACTAACTGTCTCGATATTCATTGCCCTTAGGGTCAATAAATATTACTGTTAATAAACAGAAATTATATTGAACTAACACTTTAACAGTTCAAAAATTTTTTCAATTCCCATCTAATACTGGGTTTAGTTTCTTTACTTATAGATAGACAGAAACAGATAGATATTTATTTAATTTACATCGTGTTGGCCTCGTAAAAATGAATTTCGCGCGCGCGCGCGCGTTTTATTTTTATTATATCTATTGTTATAAATAATAATATCGAGTAACTTTTTTAACTTGGTGTACAATAAAAATAATTCAATAAAAAAATTGATAACAATAAAATATGACGAATAAATTCTTAGACTTTGTCATCCATTTAACATTTTTTCTTTTCCCCCCGACATTAAAATGATTGTTATGCAAGTCGTGAAAGGAAAACTACAAATTTCTATGCAACTGATGTTTATTTAACGAGTATTCACTTTTAGTATTTCAGACCGGTATGGTGGGTTATCCCGAATCTTTAACTGATCCTTCTTACCATGCCCAAATTCTGACACTTACTTATCCACTAGTGGGTAACTATGGCATTTTTGGAGATGAAAAGGATGAATACGATATACCATAGTAAGTGTGAATGAATGTGTATCTGTATGTGTTCAAACAAAAAAATAGATAGGGTGAAGAATGAGCTCTGTGTATTATATTACTCGTATCAGTAACGGACCCTTTTATCCCCATTGAATCGAGCTTCTATTACGATTATATTAGAATATTTTTTATTAAATAATAAAATATAAAAATGCCTCGTCCCCCTATTCCCATCTCTTTAATATTTTTCAATGATATTAATATTGTTTAGTTGCATAAGTTGATAATCTGTTTTTATCGTTATCAATACAAAACGCATAAAAATTGTCAAACTTTTTTTATTCGATAATACGCTTCTACTATCGCGAGTTAATCGTTATAGATCGATATCATGAAAATTGAATTGAATTGAATTGAATTGAATTTACAGTTGGTTCGAATCGGATAGAATTTGGGCAGCCGGTTTAATAGTAGGTGAAATTTGCGAAACGCCAAGTCATTGGCGTCAAAAGAAAAAATTATCGCAATGGTTGGAAGAACAAGGTGTACCGGGTATTTACGAGATCGATACTAGAGCCTTTACAAAGATAATTCGTGAGAAGGGTTCGATATTGGGTAGAATTGTTATAGGGGAACCCCCTTCTAGCAATATTTCACCCGTCGAACCGCCATTGTTAGATCCAAATAAAAGAAATCTCGTTGCTGAAGTTTCACGCGTAAGTTTCGATTGATAACGAATACGTTTATTTTCATTTGCAGCTAACAAAATCCATGATAAATCATTTTTTTTTTAGGCATCACCGAAAACGTACAATCCTAACGGATCACCCCGTATATGCGTGGTTGATTGCGGATTAAAATACAATCAATTGAGACGATTGTTAAATCGTGGGGCCCGAGTAGATGTTGTCCCATGGAATTATGATTTAAAAACGGCCGAATACGACGGGTTGTTCTTAAGCAATGGACCCGGTGATCCAAGCATGTGCAAAACAACCATCGAAAATCTTTCCAACGTATTGGCGTGTCCGAATAAAAAACCTATTTTTGGTATATGCTTGGGACACCAATTACTTTCGATAGCTGCCGGTTGTACTACTTATAAAATGAGGTTTGCGTTTCAACCACTTGTTGCATCGTAACGTTCTACAAATTTTAAAGTCACTTAGAAAATAGTAGAAACTAAGTTTTTATTGCGAAGTTTATTTGAATAATAATTAGATTTTATCTCTTTCATATTTCTTAAGCATCACAAACTGATAATTTATGTATATTAGATACCTTTGTTATTGTTGCATATGAGGATAATCTCTGGACGTAATAGCAGCGACGAGTTATATAAAAAAAAAAAATACTTAAACTTTTTTATCAATGAAAATTTATCGACAATATTAACGACATGCACTTTATTCGCATATGAAACTTAACGGCCGTATATTTTTAGTCAACAATAATAATCGGTACTATTAAATTACCACAGCATAAAGATTACACAATAATTTTCAATGTTCAAATACAAATGACCAATCTTTAACAAAAAAAAATATATATAAAAAAAACAAAACATTAATCATTAAATAATTTCATAAATGATTATTTTATATTAATTGCATTTAATAATCTATTAGGGAAAAATTATTACAAAATTATAACTCCTCAATTATGAATGCATTATTGCAGAGAGATTATAGTTTTTAAATACCATTTTGTCGTTTGCATGCAGTTACGGAAATCGTGGTCATAATCAACCAGCAACTCATCACGGAACCGGACGTTGCTATATGACTTCACAAAACCATGGATTTGCAGTAGACGCGAATAAATTACCAGACAATTGGGAAATATTATTCACCAACACCAATGATAAAAGTAACGAAGGTATAGTGCATTCGGAGTTGCCATATTTTTCGGTACAATTCCATCCGGAACACACTGCCGGTCCGCAAGACTTGGAATGTCTTTTCGACGTCTTTTTGGATACTACAATAGACCATATGAAAGGTCATCCGCAAATAACTGTCAAAGATAGGCTCAATGAAAAGTTGAAATTTAAAGCGTCGCAATCGATCGACAAATTTCATCCGAAAAAAGTTCTTATTTTGGGATCGGGAGGACTTAGCATTGGTCAAGCTGGTGAATTCGATTATTCTGGTTCACAAGCGATCAAAGCATTGCAAGAAGAATGCATCCAAACGCTTTTAATAAATCCTAATATTGCAACAGTACAAACTACCAAAGGGATGGCCGACAAAGTTTATTTTTTACCAATCATTCCGGAATACGTTGAACAAGTAAGTCATAAATATGATCTATTAAATATTCGAATCATCGTGCAACGAGTATTGTACTTAACATTTTTCCCTATTAATTCATTTTTTCTATAAGCGTATATTTTCAAGAATATATATATTTATCATAGGTAATACGTTCGGAAAGACCCGATGGAGTATTATTAACATTTGGCGGACAAACTGCATTGAATTGCGGAGTTGAATTAGAGAGAAACGGTGTATTCGCAAGATACAATGTTAAAATTTTAGGCACGCCGATTGAATCTATCATACAAACGGAAGACCGGAAAATATTTGCCGAACGTATAGGTGAAATTCACGAGAAAGTTGCACCGAGTGCAGCTGTATATTCGATAAAGGAGGTAAATTTACACACATATATATTATAACAAATGATATAATAGAGTTCGTATTACGTTAGAATGATAAAAAAAAAAAAAACAAGAACAATTCGCTGATCATTCATTTTGTTTAACCCAAGGCCTTAGAAGCAGCTAAGATACTGGGTTATCCGGTTATGGCAAGAGCAGCGTTTTCTCTCGGTGGTCTCGGTTCAGGTTTCGCTAATACGCAAGACGAATTAATAACATTAGCCCAACAAGCGCTTTCCCATTCTAATCAACTTATCATAGACAAATCATTGAAGGGTTGGAAAGAAGTTGAATACGAAGTAGTACGAGATGCATACGACAATTGTATCGCAGTTTGCAATATGGAGAACATCGATCCGCTTGGAATTCACACTGGTGAATCAATTGTCGTTGCACCTAGTCAAACTCTGTCGAATCGAGAATACAATATGCTTCGTACTACGGCCATCAAAGTGATCAGACATTTTGAAATAGTAGGAGAATGTAATATTCAATACGCTTTAAATCCAAATTGCGAAGAGTATTACATCATTGAAGTTAATGCAAGACTATCGAGAAGT